GGCGCGCGCGGCGCGAGCCGCAGGCGGGAGACCGCGCCGCAGAAGGCCTCTGCATCAGCGGCGCAGGTCAGGGCGCGAAATATGACGACCGCCGCCGCCCTCCCGCCGCCGCCACCGCCCGGCCATGTGCTGGCATCGGCATTCGGCGGGGCGGCCGTCGGCATGAGGCAGAAGAACGCGCCCGGCCCAAAGGCGGGCGCGGGGCGGGCGGTTTGGGGGCAGTTGCAAGCGGCAAGTGTCTGCTCTAGCAATAAGCCCCCAGGCGCCGCGAAGCCGGCGGCAGCCAGGAGGGCGCCTGCTGCCGCGGCGACTTGATCCGGTCGGTCCGGCGCGGCCGGCGTCGCGCCACCGTTGCCGCTCCGCGCACGGCGCCAGGCGCGCCGGGCCGCCGCGGAGGCATGCCGCGCGAGCGAGAGCAGCAGCGGCAGCAGCGCGGCACGGGAGACGCGCCAGGCGGCCGTGGCGGCCGCGCTTGCGAGCCACCACAGAAGAGAAGCTACGGGTACAGCAGTGTCGGAGTACAGCTCAGCAGCCGCCTGCACGACTTCGGCCACCACCTCAGCCGAGCCGTCCGCGGCGCCGGCCGCAGCCATACCCGCGGCCGCCGACGCGGCGGCGCTCGCCGCGGCCGGCGGCGGCGGCGCCGGGGGGGCTGGTCGGGCGGCGGCGGCGGGGCGGCCCGTGACGGCTGCGAAAGACGTGGGGACGCCTGACAGCGACGCTTGCCTCCCACCCCCGGCCGGCCGCAGGTGGGGGCTGATAAAGCTGACCACCGCCTTCCTAACTGCCGCAGCTGCCGCCCCGCAGCCGCGCTGCGCCATGCGTAAGAGCCCAGCGGCGGCGGCGCTGGCGGCGCCTGGGCCTCGCTGCGCCGGCTCCTGCTCCTGCTGCGGCTGCTGCTGCTGCTGACTCAACGAGGCATCCCACGCCGCCAGCGGCGCCGGCGCTGATGCGGAATCGCGTTGAGCAATCAATGCAGCATTCAATGGCTCCACATAATCAGGTTCGGAGGGCCAACGCCATGGGTCAGCAAAGGGCAAGGCGCCGGCGCCCTCCACCGTATGGGCATGAGGAGTGGCGCACGCTCCTTCGCCGCCGCGCCGGCCGGCGTCGGCGCCGCCCTTGGCAGGTAATCTGCTAACATCGCGCTTGGCGGTCAGGCGGCGGCGGGGTGCGTCCATGCGGGGGTGGTGCGCTTGCCCTAGGCAAGGCAGCGGCGAGGGCGCATGCAGCGCAGCAGGTGCCGAAATCAACAACAAGCTCTATGGGAGCAGGATCCGCGCAGGTATCTGATCCAGGTGACCGGTTTTGTATCGTCTTATGTCAACATTCGTCTACAATCGTCTACAACACATGGCACAACCAAGAAATCCAGGTTCCAACAAGTGCACGAGGCATATCACTCCGATCAAAAAAACTGCATGACGAATCCATTCTTTTGCGAGAAGGCACAAGTGTTTGATGCTTGTGGTGCAACAGACTTGAGGCTGGTCCCACGGCTGGGGGGGCACAGCACCTGCTCACCGCCGCGGTCAGCGCAGGCATACGGTACTCATCACAAGGCACAGGCAGCCCCTGTAGACCCCCTCTAGGCATCCCCACGCGAGAGTACCGCGCAAGTACACCCGTAACAGTACTGAAATTCGTATCATGTGTGATCAGTTGTTCAAGTTATGCCTGCCACCATTAGCCTGTTTCCCATAAGCAAATTCCCTGGGCAATCCGCGGGAACTGTGCACTAGATGAACTGGCTCCATCACCGGCAGCCCAATAGTATGCCTAATTTTGTCAGCCATTCCATCTTGTTCCATGTGCTTTTAGTTTATCGTGCAATGACAGGTTGCCGCAGTCCTGCTGCCAATGAAACTCTGCCTGAGAAGGTGCCTGTCTTGAGGATTTTACACCTCTCAACCCCAGACCTGTCTGTGGCATTCAAACAACACAGACCTTCCCTGAACCCCATGTTTCCAGCACACAACCAGCTTGGTCAATTCAATGTGGTTACTCATAGTCGCAGTGGCCCGATAATGTTATCGTACACACCAGCAGTGGGGGGTGGCGCAGACAACCGGATGCCATTTGCATCCAGCAGGGGGCGGCAGCTCTGGCAAAAATCTCTCGTGCGGAGGCGGCAAGGAAAGGCCTGCCAACCCCCGTCGCAGCTCGTGCGAGTGTGTGTGTTAAAACTGTGCATACATCCCTCTCCTCCATAGGTCGCGTCGCCAGCGGCCCCGCGCCCACACAAGACCAAGTTTAGGCACCCCGCCGGTAGGTGGCGCGGGCTCCCGAAGTGGGCGCGTCGACTGTGGTGATCCAACCTTTGAAATGGTTGCGGCGGGCGTGCGCAGGCGGCTAGCCCACACTTGTGTGGCCAGTTGCAACGCCCTGCTTAGGGCAGCAAGGCATTGCAGCCCAAGGACTGTCACCTTGGGGAGGCAGTCCGCGGGTTGCAATGCCCCTACCCACACAACCCCCTTGCCACGCACGCTTCGCGCGACAAGGTGGGTCGACCCGCAAGAACAAGGCTTTTCACTCTCGGCACACTCGCGATGGTGCGCGCATGTACATCCCATGTCCTCCCTCCCGATGTCCATCCAGCCGGCCGAATGCCGCCGGCTCCGACCAAGCACACCCCCCGCAAACGACCACCTCGTCCCCCCGCCCGCGGCGCAATGCGGCACGCAGGCAGAGAGCGCGGGCTCGTGTGCCCGGGGTGCGTGCGTCACGCGTCATCGCCGCTTAGTTGACGGCGGCCTTGACGCCCTTGGGGACGCGGAAGGAGGTGTGGGTGGTGGAGCCCTCCTCCTCCTCGCCGTCCATGGTGGGCATGCCCAGCATGCGCACGCCCTGGCGGGGGGACACCTCCAGGGGCTGCCACTCGCTGGGGGCGGGCAGCGCCTTCTGGTTGGAGCTGCAAGAAATGACAGAGGGGTTCGGTGGGGGGGGAGGGTCAGTCGATCGTCATCATGGTCGATTGAGCCAAGGCGTGGGGACTCCTACAAAAAGGACAACCCTACGACAGGCCAGGAGCTCGAGAAGAGGCCGCCAATCAAAGCTCCAAGCGGCGGTCAGCCCCCGGTCAACCCCCCCGTTTGGGGCACTCACATGGGCTTGTGCAGCAGCTGGAAGCTCTCGGCCTGGATGGGCGCGGACGAGCAGATGCGCGCAGCGAGATACTCCGCGGGCAGGGACAGGAGCGCGGTCTGGACCGACGCGCTGCAGAGTGGGACAAGGCGGTGGTGGAGGGAGACGGAGGGGAGAGAGACGTAAGAAACAAGGGGAGGTTTGGTGGGAGCAGCAGGCGGGGGGCCCGTTGCCTAGCAAGGGCCTGGGTCTGATGTGGTGCAACACGGGGACTGCATCTGCGACCAACCCTGTCCATCCCTTCAGACATCGCAGTTGCAGGGTACAGACGGGACAGACTGCATGGTCCCAGATGACGAGGACACAAAGGACACGCAAAGACATACAAGGCCACTCACTTGCTGATGCCGGAAGAGGCGTCCTTGAGGCCGCTATCGCGCGCCAGCAGCTGGATCTGGCGGGGGGTCAGGCTGGGCAGCTGCATGAGGTCCAGCACAGTGATCTGGCCCTTGTTCACGACGTACACCTGTCAGGAGGGCGCGTTTGAATTGCGGGCGTCAGCACAGCCCAATTTTGAGTGCGATCCCCGGCGGATGCCTCGCGAACTGGCCAATCAACCAGCCGCAGCTGTGCGCGCCACGCACACAACACCAGCCAGCAAAGCGCCTCGGGTTCAGGGCAAAGCGAGCAAGAAGGCAAGCACAGAGCGGGGCAGGGCGGGGCGCCACACCTTGGTGGGCGCCACGAACTCGAAGTTCTCGTTGGTGAGGCCGTCGGACCAGTTGTGGATCTGGACGCCGGTGACAACGGCGTAGTCGGCCTTCTCGATGTCAACGCACTTCTCGATGAGGTACTCAAGGTCCTGAGTAACGGATTAGTAAAGAGAATGATGTTGAGAGGGTGCATCAGTCAAAGTGGTGCAGAGGGGCAGGAAGAGAGCTGCTGGCAGGAGCCGTGCAGGGGTCCGCGGGCCGCAGGTGCGAACCGCGCGAGTTGGGCTTCGAGGCTGACAGCGGTCAAGCAGGCAGGCTGGAAAACGCGGCACTCTGTTGGAAAAAAAGCGCCGTCATCTCACGTCGGTGATGACGCGCTCGGCGACGGCGGTCATGTCGGAGAGGTCCATCAGGATGGGCTCCATGCGCTCGTACCTGAAAATGAAGTTTTGGTTTGGAAGAGTGGATTACGTCAGCTTGAATTGTGTTGGATTAGGTCGGGTCAGGTGTGAGCTGGTTTGTAAATCAATGCTGGCATGTGAATCCATACTGGCATGCGGAACTGGCCCAGGCCAGCAGTCCCGGCCGCTGCCAAGCAGGCAGGGCTCGGCATACGCGGTCAGTCCGAGCCGTGAAGCGCCCAAAATGCGCCGCGCCGCGCCGCAGCACAGCGCAGCCCCCAGCCCGCTTGGCGCGCCGCGTCAAGCGCCGCTGCTGCGCTGACGTCGGGTGGATGCACACACAGAGGGCTCCCACCCCTGGCGAGCGCGTGAGGGGGCGCAGGCGGCACGCACCTGATGCGGCGGGCCAGGCGCTGCTTGAGGATCGAGTACTCGGGGTCCAGGGGGTCGTGGACACCGGGCACGCGGCAGTTGGGGGCCAGGCCCTCACCCTGCAGCTCCTTCAGGGCCTGTTGTAGCAAATCCAAGACAAGAGGTTTGGGTCAAATGGAGACATGCAACATCGAGAGTCTGGTTCTCAAGTAAGAAACGATGGGAGAATGTCGGCAGTACGGAACAGGTGCATTCGAGTGCAGCTCGGTCAACCTGATTTGGCAGCCAGGCAGATGCACAAAACAGGATGGAGCAAGTGCAGCCGCTAGCTGCGAAAATTGGCCAGGGCGGAGGCCAGCGACGCACCTTGGCGAGGGCACCGCAGGCGCAGCTGTCCCCGGGGCGGTTGGGGCGGCTGATCACGCCGAGGTCGCCGGTGGCGGAGATGGCGGTGTGGGGGAAGGAGAAGAACACGTAGCGCTCGCGGCCATCATCCTGAGGATTGCAGGGTGGGTGGGGTGCATTGTTGAAGGGGTGATCCAGCAGAGAGTGGCGGGCTTGAAATGGGCATACTTGGCAACAAAGACACAGCCGCGTCTGCTGATCCGCGGTTCAGCAGCTGAGGTGATGGGGCCTGCAAGGACGCGACAGCATGACAGGCACGCAAGGCACAATGCAGGGCCGCGCTGCTCAGCGCAGGAAAGCACACCTGGCAGAGGGGGGAGTGGGACAGACCGGCGCCGATGCCGGTAACACCGCAGGTGAGGAC